AACTATATCCGATATCCGGATACATCTACGTATGGGTACAGAGATGTTTTGACTAAAATGAGTAAATGTGACTCGAATATCGGAAACTTCTAATGTTCCATTTCCCCAAGAAACCCTAAAACTATGAAACATCAATTTAATCGCTTCCCATCACATTATTTAGAAATATTCTTCTTTTCCTCCCGATGTATAATTTCTGTCTTGGTTGAGTATGCAATTAAATATCTATTTCCGTTGTGAAACAATTTCGTAAATTTAAAGCTTTTTGAGCTCGCATATTCGGGTAGCGTTAAATTTTACGATGACATCAAATGTATCATGTGAGCCATGGCATCTGTTCCACTAAAAACCTGTAGGTACTTGAAACATTTCCATTTCATGTACTTTTCATTTTCTTTCTCTCTCCTTTTTTGCTTTCGGTTTGCGTAAACGATGTCTACTAGTCGACATATAAGATACAACGTGCAGTGTAAAAAATTAATAAACCATGCCTGAGTTCTCGGAAAACGTCCCAAAGCGCTATGCAAAATGATCTCTCAACTTCTCAACGTTTTTGCGTTTTCGCTATTTTTTTTTTAAGCGATTTATACTTCACCTAAAGTCTATGATCTATTTTTGCATTTTCATGTTGTGAAGTTGTAAAGAACAACAGTATCTATCAGTACTATTACATTTATTCATATATGAACATTTCAGTTTAACTTATTTACGTATCAATACGTATATGTAAGCGGTAGCGGAAAATACCCACTAGATGGCGATATATACATTGCTTGGATATTGACATTTAATCCAGTTCAAATGTTTACGTATATCTGAAATAATATGGATAAATATTAAGAGATCATTCAGAATAAAATATAAAAAGAGTAAAGCAAGTCATGAGGGTCAAAAGGTTACAAATTGCTTGGTTAAAGTAGTAAGCCACATTTACATTACCTTACTAAAACTTGAATGAATGAATTGCTTTATTAACTACATAGTTGTGGACTTACCAGTACTGGTAATTGTTTAAATGTTTTAAATACGAATATTAAGAAAATCATTATTATTAACCAATTTTGAGATTTCTAGGGTGTACCTACGCAAAAAAGATACACAGACCCCACTTATAATTTATATTCATCGTCCCACACAACCATTTGTTATATATTGTTAATTATATTGCGTGGAAAGAATGTTTCTTTTTTTTATTTGTGCCACGTAATCTCTGAAAATAGCGAACTAGAAGCATCATGATGAATTCCTTCATCACTGAAAGGCTTTTATCTTTAGAATTAGCATAAAGCTACAATTTACGGAAAAGTTGCTGAGTAATGATGATATATACGGAAACAAAACTGTATTGAAAAAAACAGCCTTTGTATACGGATTCGGTGCGTACGATAGGGAAATTGTTAATAGATAGAAAAGGTAAAAATGTAACAATAAATGCGAATTGTGTAACAATTTATTTGGTGAAAAATACCAATCTATCGTATTGCCATACAAAATCTCTTTTTATTTTATGGTTTCTCTTATTATGTTGCAATTAATAGAATGTTATAATGGGATATTATGCCGATTTCAAAAACTGTACCCTAGTGGCAAGTTGAAGAGCAAACATAAAGGCATTATCTGCTTCTCAAAGGTGTACATTATCTTTTTAAAAATACGACATTCTGTACAAGGTCTCTTCAAAAAGTAACGCGAATTTTGTGTTTTTCAAAAATTATTTATTTATTCATGAATATCTATTTTATACCCTTCAAAGTAATCCTCATCAGGTATTATACACTTGTGCTAAGTTTTTTTTCAATACTTGGAGCACTTCAAAAAATCATTTTTTGTGATCTTGTTCAGCTCCTGCTTCGATGCCGTCTTAATCTCCTCAATCGTAACGTAACGTCGTCCTTACATGGACCTGTTCAGTTTCGGGAACAAGAAAAAGTCACAGTGGGTCAGATGTGTGAGCAGGGGCGTTATCATGGTGCAAAGTCACAGTTTCCTCAAATCCGGGCGTTCCTGACGGATTGCTTCGCGCAAATTGCGCATAACTTGCAGGTAATATTCCTTCTTGCCCGTTCTACCCCGTGACAAGAGATCATGATGTACCAATTCCCTGCATTCGAAGAAAACTGTACTTCAGCAAAACCTTCACATTTGACTTAACGCTCTTTTTTCGGTTTTGGCTCGTGCGGCGGCTTCTATTGGGATAATTAAGCTTTGGTTTCCACGTTATAACCATAAACCCACGATTCGTCACCAGTTAGTTAGCAATATATTAATGCTATGCTATTTTTCGTCGAAACTGAGCAATTCTGGTACTCATTTCGCGGCGACCCGTCTCATGAGCATCGCAAAGGTCTTTTTCGCTTTTTATCATCATCAGGACATCAAGTCCTTCCTCTTTAATGATGGACCTGTTCGAATTTTTAACTATTTTAAGTAAACTAAATTTCTCTTCGTTCGAAACCACCGGAAAACTCGTTGTAAATATTAGCTGACAAAGAAGAAAAAGCTTCCCCAACAACTGATTTATACCTAGCGGCTAACATCATGATACCTTGCAAAGAAGAGCATATATCAAATAATATCACTAACTGCATAGGAAGCGCCTCGAACTTAGACAAGTGATCAGGCAGATACAGCAGAATCAATTTTTCAGTATTTTTACTTGTAATATTCTTTTTGACTAAAAAGTTTGATATTAAATTCAAACGTTCTGCAATCATTTCGAGTTAATCTCGTAAAAAGTTTATCTTAAACGCTTAAAAATTCTTTTCTAAAAAACATGTTTATATCAAAGCTTGCTGCATTGGATTCACAGTTATCAATTTTTGCCGGAAGTCTTTGTTTTCGGTCTGAAAATCCTGTTCTGGATTAATTTTAACTTTTCTTGCAAAAATTTTGGCACTTCCTATTAAGTTTAGAATTACATTGTCCTGTTTCTGTATTGAAATTAGGGATTCTCTTGTTCTATTAATAATGTTTATTGCGTTACAATGTTTAAGTCTTCCTTTCCTCTTTCTGCCTGTTTTACAAGGCGCTTATGGTAACCGTCTTATTTTAGGGTATTTAGCTTGAAATATTGACTAGAAGTCTGATTTCTTGATAATTCTGTAAGACTAATCTTTACTACCTACGAGAGTTCAATGAATACCGAATTAAGGACCGATATTATTTTTATGGTTTCAATGCTTTTGACGTGACAACGTCTTATAATTCGATGGAGCCGGCTGCACGCACGAAAAAACATAACTCATGCGGCGTTACCTCGCTCTGAGGCGTTCCATTTAAGGCTTGAAGTGCAAGCGAGAGCGCGGAACGAGCGACGAAGAGTCACAATCGGCCTCCGCGTTCGGCAGCGTTCAACATCTGTCTCTCTCCTACTTGAGTGAGCGATGCGTCCGCATGGACAGCTGCTATACAATAATACATTTCCATTTACCGCCTTCTCTATATCCATACAAAATATCTATCAAACAAATAAAATCAAAATTTTCTTTTGAAAAATGAAACCATTCCATCAGTATTTTCTTAGGACGTTGTCACGTTCAACTATCGTCAGTAAATCGACTTTACAGACAACCGATTTTTTTATAATCTTATTAGTTTTCAAGTTTCTCAAGCAGTTTTACCTACAGGCGTTATTACATGAAATTATGAAATAAGTCTATTTTAAACAATTTTCCTAATTAATAACACAAGAACATCCCTCGGCATCCCCTTTTAGCTAGGACTCTGCTCGTGAGGTAAGTGGTCTCTTGACATTGTCAATTTATCCCACTATCTCCTGCGTGATTTTGTCTGCCGCTTGTATCCGTCCGCACTGTCGTTAATAAACCTCATTTGTAATTTATTTCACAGCACGTTAAGCCATTTTTAGTCAATTTGTGAATGGTTAACGAAGCGGACGGCTGTCAACGAGACTCCAGCAACTTGACAATCTCACGAAATCGCAATAAATTTCACTTAAATTTGTGAGGCGTCTTGGAACGGGCGCAGCATCATTTAACCTGAATTACAATTTCTCGTGAACTGTTGCAGTGGAATTTCAACCGCTGGAAAAGTCAAGGCGTTGGTTAATAGACGCTTCTCTCGATGACCTCGTCGATATTTCTGTTAGAAACTTAAAATATTTTTCGGCGATACCATCCAATGTTAATTAAGAAATCCAGTCAAGCGATCTGAATATCTGTTCCCATTTAATTAACATAGTACCCTTACCAAACCACAAGCGCAAACAATATTTACATCTTCCAAGAATAGGCTCTTAATTTTGCTTTCTTAGCCTTTGTTTCATTTTCGTAAAATAAACCGAGGAAAATTGAAAAGCTGCTTTCCTTCGGTAATAACTAAACGTAAATTTAGATTATCCGATTTTTTTAATACAATTACAGGGTAATTTAAATTGCATTTTCTCCTCAATCCGGTACAGAAAGAATGTTAAAATTATAATTACTTTAAAAATTGGAAATTCACATGACAATTCTTAAACTTAATCCAAAAGCGGGTGGATCCGATAAGCATTATGAAAATGGAAGAGTCACTGCGCAATTGGGAAATGCGCATCAGGTTTTTGAAGTCCATCTCGAATTGGATGCGCACCGTCTTACTGCGCAGCGACTTGCCGAACAATTTGGTGACTCTAAGTTTCTGCATTTTCCTTGGACACCTTTTAAAAATAGAGAGGTTACCAAAAAATTGCCTGACCATTTTTAATGTTATTATGTACAATTATAGTATTTAGCTTGATTAGTTTCATTAATATATTTCATGTAATAGACTGTTGTAACTGTAGTAAAAGTTTTAAAAAACATTGGACCTGTGAAACTTCGAGAACACTGTTTAACGTTTCCTTAACCTTAATTACCCTTTAGGTACTAGATAGTACTATCAGAATGTTATTAAGAAATAGAATTAAAGGTGTTGTTTTTAATAAATTTTGTAAAATGATTTTACTGGTATAATAGGAAATAGGAGCTGTTGTATTGAATTGGTTTCTTTTCTTGTTACAGTTTAATTTTGTTGGAAAACTTCTTGGTCCAAAAGGAAATTCGCTTAAAAGACTACAGGAAGATACAATGTGCAAAATGGCTGTCTTGGGAAGAGGATCCATGCGGGATCGAATAAAGGTATGTGTTTTCTTTTTTTGTTTTGTTGTTTTAAAGGTAGGTTATGAAAAATTAGAAGAAGGCGCTGATTTTCAGGATAGAAGATCCAATAGAAATATAAAACAAAAGATAACGTAGGGTCGAGTCGCCTTTAACAAAAGGAAGACCCTTCTGCGCCCGCGAACGGTTAATTTAGAAATTCTAGAAAAATTATTTGAAACGTGGAGGATGGGTGTGGCAGAAAAGTATAGATTAGAAGCGTTCAAAATGTGGTGTTACAGGCGAATAATGAAGGTACCGTGGATAGAGAAGGTTAGAAATGAGGAAGTATTAGAAATAGTCGGACGACAGAGGGCGCTATGGCAGTCAATGCGAAATAAGCGAGATAGGTTGGTTGGAGTAGATAAGCAATGATAGTTCTAAGGGAAAATCCCATGTATTTTCTTATGAATGTTCATTTTCTGACTTTTTTACCGTTTTACTTCCTCCACGCCTACTCCGACGTCACTGCCGTCACCCATCTTTGATACCTGTTATCATCAGCCATCTTTGACAGCTGTCATCGTCAGACATCTTTGATAGCTGTTAAAGATGACTGACGGCCGACATGGAAGTGGGTAAAACGGTAAAAAAAGTCGTAAAATGATTTTTCTTAAGAAAATACATTTTATTTTGCGCTAGAACTGTCATTGCTTATCTGCTTAAGGATCAGAGATGTTTTGGGGATAGGAAAGAACGAAAGCGCATGTCTTACCAGTCTAAGGACTGACGACCGTAGTTATAGCTACCAACCGCCACTGGATGCAGGATTGTTTTATTAAGCAGCATTACTGACGATGAATTTAAGTATGCATTGTAATCATCATTAATCAAAACAAAAGCGGCGGACTGATAAACCATGGAAGCATGTTAAATCTAAGAATGCGTTTTATGTTTACGTCATTGTTACTCCCGTCTGTCTGCACCGAGACTAAGTAGATTGTTAATTGTTTGTAGAAGGAATTATTAAGCTTCGGCTTAATGAAATTAATGAAGAGGAAAATTCCATTCAAGAATCGCTTCTTGTTCTTGATGGAATACCGTGGATTTTACAGGAAAGCTGGCAGTAAAGTGATCCGGCATTTAATGCACGGTATTATGCCGGCGTCTTAGCGAGATTAGGAGATTAAAGTGTTTATTTCGAAAAATTACGTAAAATATGGACTTATTAACTTGAATAGGAGGAGCACAATTGCCTCACGTGTAAAGGTATGTGATGATAAGGGGATGAGGGAGTTCTAATAAACGTTATCCACTTCAAGTTTAGGTACTCCTATTGTTTTACCCAAGAGTCCCTCTTCCTTGCCGCGGATGGGTGGAATCCCGAGATAAAAATGTTCAGTCTCTCAGAGTCTCTGAAAGCGAGACTCGAGTCTCCGTCTCTCATCGAGTCTCTCTGGTGTCGCTGAGAGAGACTGTCAAAAAAACTGAACGAGAGACTCGAGTCGCTCATAGAGAGATCCTCATTTCGTATCCAGTCTCTGAACGAGAGACTCGAATCTCTGAACGAGAGGCTCGAATCTCTCAATATAAGTGGTGTCTCGATAGACATGGTTAAAATTTTCGAAGAAAAAAAATTTCAACATATTTCAGAGATCCCAATCTTTCTATGAGAGACTCCAGTCTCTCAGTTTTTCAGTTTTATTCATTCAGTCTTTTTGTAAGAGACTCGAATCTCTGAATTAACAATTTTATCGTTCGAGTCTCTCATACAGAGACTGTGAGAGATCCATAAAAAACACCTAGACACTAACTGAGAGACTGTGAAAGACTGTGGGAGACGCTCTCAGAGACGCTGAAAGACTCTGAGAGACTGGAGAGAGACTGAGAATATATTTTTCTAGGGCCTCTAACAAACCATTCAAGTCTCACAAGGTGTCCTACTATCTAATCTCTCCTATCCCTTATTAATTTTTATAGCACTCACTGTTTTCCTACCTTTTCCAATATCTCCCCATTTCTATCCGCGATATCGTTATTGTCGCATTCTCTGGCAATGCTCCTAAACCTAATAAAATAATCTCCCGTGTTCCCCTATTCCTTTTAAATCGAAATTCGTCTTAAATATACATATTGTCTTTCTACCCTCTATGGTTACCTATATTCGTTTTTATTTTTCGATCGTCTATTGCTACATCCACAGGATCGTGATGGTTTGAGAGGCTTTATGAAATAATGCAAAGCGTTCAAATTCACCTTTGTGTCACAACAAACAACGGTAAAGCCCATTCAATTTGGCACGGGGCAATTCTGGCCCGTTATTAAACGTCTGAAAATTGCGTAGTTAAAAACGGAAAACTGTTACCGACGCAAATTTACGACTTTGATCTTCCGCTATGGTTTGCCTTTTACGCGCCTTTTATTGTTAATCAATGAGAACGACAAAATATTATTATAGCTCGCAGCTTTTGTAGCCAAAATGTCCCTTTTTAATTTAACGACCGCATAAATCGGGTGTTGTTCCGAAATTTAATAATCCGTTGGAATCCAGCAACTAATTTTTTAATTTTTATCTGTCCTCGCAGTCAAAACAAAGTTTATATTCTTGGTATCGGAATACTGTTAAAAATCGCTATTGTCGTGTTTGGATTAGATAACTTAATCGTGCACCGAGGGTTCCGTACGAACTTAAGGGTATCCTAGGTCGCGCCTAACCTTAGGATCGGAGCTGGGAGTTATAAGTAGTCCAGTCAAATGGGGGAAATGGCTGAAGAATACGTTATAATGAAGAAAATGATTGAAACACGGGTCATTGACATTGCTTCCTACAGATAAGGTTTTACGGTCCAATTTAACAATTTAATATTAAAAAAAGATTACATTGTTTCCGATTTTTTGTACTAAAATTTATATGTCCACGGAGCATTTAGTTTTCCACATAATTTTTAGAAATACCAGAACGGAACACTTTTTGGGGATAATCCAAACATATTATCGCTTATAACGACATGTAGGTACTTTAATAATTTACATCGAAGAATACTAATTAAACAATAAATTAATTGCCTAAAACCTCATTTCGTTGTAATAAAATGGTGTAATAAGAAGAATTAATAAAATGACTGTAAAAAATGAGGAACACGAATATGTAAATGACAATTTAAATCCGCAAAAACAATTGCAAATTCTGTTATCTCGCGAAAAATGGGAGATATGGAAAAAAGTTTCAATAAGTTCTTCACAGTGCCATTTTGCAAAAAAGTATTGATGACTTTTTTTCATATCTCTTATAGTACAAAAGTTTTGCTCGCCCAATGGCAAAGGGGCCCCAACAATTACTTACAGAACAATGTCTCAAGAACTGGTTATAGTAGACCCGGACCATCCTACCATCAGAAACTAATAAATCTAGATACCACCCATGACCCTCTATATTTACCTGAAACCCAAGACAGCTTCAGGGACCGGTGCTGTTTAGGGCCCCGATCGGGACCATAAAACAGAACGGTGCTCGGATACTAGGGCAGAAATTTATTTTAGAATGGATCTCATTTTTTACAGTCATTTTATTAATTCTTATTATTACATCATTTTATTCCAACGAAATGAGGTTTTAGGCAATTAATTTATTGTTTAATTAGTATTCTTCGATGTAAATTATTAAAGTACCTACATGTCGTTATAAGCGATAATATGTTCGGATTATCCCCAAAAAGTGTTCCGTTCTGGTATTTCTAAAAATTATGTGAAAAGCCAATGCTCCGTGGACATATAAATTTTAGTACAAAAAATCGGAAACAATGTAATCTTTTCTTAGTATTAAATTGTTAAATTGGACCGTAAAACCTTATCTGTAGGAAGCAATGTCTACGTATAGTCTACAGTTTTAAACGTAAAAGTTTAACAGATGAAAAGATATATGTAGCCAGTTTCCGGTATTTTGTCCGCAACGGCAGTCCGTAGGCGAGTTCCAATGCATTAAATTTCCAGTTTTATTGCACCAAGTACAATTGTGGATATATAAAAATTACTTCGCCGTTTCGCACGTGTTTCTATAAAATTGAAGTTGGGACTTTCTATGGTTCGGAATGTTGACAAAAGTGTTATTGAAATAAACTGAGAGAAAATTGGAAAAACTAACATTCAATAATAATGATCTACTACAGTGACACATATGAAAATTATTCTGACACGTTATCAATTTTCGAATATGTTCATTATTTTATAAGGAAACATGCAAAAGTTAATGTAGAAAACGTTTTTAAACACATTGGCATAACCTTTTAGACAATTTTATTTACTTTTTTGACGTGACAACGTCTTATAATTCGATGGAGCCCGGCTGCACACACGAAAAAACATGACTCATGCGGCGTTACCTCGCTCTGAGGCGTTCCATTTAAGGCTTGAAGTGCAAGCGAGAGCGCGGAACGAGCGACAAAGAGGCACAATCGGCCTCCGCGTTCGGCAGCGTTCGACATCTGTCTCTCTCCTACTTGAGTGAGCGATGCG